GATACGTGAGACACTCGTATTTATACCCCATGAACTTGCTCTCACCAAGGCATGTGGTACAACACGGTGCTCAACGCATCCAGACATGCGCAGAGCGTAATGGGGCCAGAGTGCTCAAACCACCACAAGGGAAGTGAGCTTTGCATTATCGCTAATTAGACACCCATTAACAACTCCGCAGAGTGCTCAACAACACCGAAGTGAAGGAGCGTAATAGTACAATCTGCAGACATGCATTTTTCGGCGTTCAACGCCTCGCCAGTGCAGCTTGGTACACGTCTAGATACGTGAGACACTCGTATTTATACCCCATATATACATATATATATATATATATATATATATATATATATATATATATATATATATATATATATATATATATATATATATATATATATATATACTGAAGACTATATTCAAAAAAATAGTCGATGAGTTGACGTAAGGTAGAAGAACGCTCAATACCATAATAAGTAGAGCGGAATTAATTCAGTCAAGGTTTGAATGTTTGCGTCGCTACTCTGAGTTTCACGCTTTACGCGATCATCAGGCAACTGACAGATATTATTCAATATTCATAATAAATATAGGTTATCATTTACAACTTGATTAAGCAGGTATCTGGTTCCATGTCTACATTTGGAAAACAAGTCAGAGCGTTTGTTCAGGCATTCAGTTTTCTTCGCTTTCATAATAAATATAGGTTATCATTTTACAACTTGATTATATATATATATATATATATATATATATATATATATATATATATATATATATATATATATATATATATATATATAATTGGAATACTAGCTTTAAGAGCGTGTGTCTCTAAAAACCGCCCACTGACTTGGGGCTCGAAAAATAAATTCCTTCGAAACTTTTACCGTGAACTACATTTACTTTAACAACAAACAAATGCTGTTTGGAATTTTGAAAATATATTTAGTTTCAAAGTTTTAGCGATTTTTTGGTCTCGCACCATCGCGGGAGAAATTCGCTGGCTAATTAAACGAAAAAATGGGCTGAATTTAAATAAACATAATTTCAAAAGTTTTTGTTCAAAATTTCTGATATTCACACCCAGCACCGGAAAACTATCGTAATTTCATCTAAACTAACTTAGGTTTTCAATTACAGAGCATTTGTGACAATATTTAGCGACAAAGAGCGCCATGTCAAAATACGGCTTTCAAATTCTACTATTTTCTACGCTGAATTTCTTAAAAGTGGGACCTAATTACATACAGTGATTAGTATAGTTGGAAAAAGGACACTTTGAAGTACTAAAAACCGTAATAAAACTCGTCTGCAAACGCGATTTGAACAATTGAGAGCATTGAAATTTGATACTATTTATGGCCTTTTGTTTACATTAGAATGTTGCTGAGGTCAGACGTCTGAGTTCATTGTCACTGCTAAAAATGCGCTGTAGTTCTGCCAAATAACATTTTCTCATTGCCCTTCTCTCAAAACAAATCGATAATGTCATAGTACTAAATTAGATTTCGTTGTTTATCTTACAAGATATTTAAATAGATGATATTAAACATATAAAATTGAATCACGGTAAACACTTGCAAAAAATGTCGCCCGGGGAAAACCCAACAAAAGCTTTTGTTTTGTATTAAACTATTACCTTTCCGGTAATTACGTCACAACTGCATGGAAGTGAGGCTGATGGGCCAAGGCGTATGCCATTATGCGTTTGCTTTGGCCCCTCAGCCTCACTTCCATGCAGTTGTGACGTAATTACCGGAAAGGTCTATTTCGATTATTATGTACTGCACAACCAGTCAATGTCATGCAAACATTGAAACACAAGTATACTTTTAGCATCCTATCATACACTGAAATTGGCACTTAGCGCATTTTCATTTAGGTGTTTTTTTTTTAAATGTAGCACTGAGTAAAGGCGAGGTTAAATGAGACAATTTTCTGCAATGCATTTTTAGAGTAGGTGCATGTTAAGTCGAACGCACACAAGGACATTATTATTTAACAAATACCTGACGTTTTCCTGTCATTTTCAGCGATTTTTCTTAGTTGATAGTAGTCGGTTAAGATCAGATTGTGTTGATCCGCTATTGTGCCCGAGTTTTACCGCAAACGTTGCAGTCGGCCCTCTACAACATCACGTGCGCTCGGCTTTACAAAGCACTACTTGCAAAAACTAGTCAAATTTGCGTAATATTGAGATTGCCGGATGATAACATCAACTTCACAGAAAGGTTCCAGAACTAAACTTCGCACATTTATAGACTTTTCGAACTAAGCAATAGTTTGGTATGCTGCAACGCAAACTCTAAATATAGCATGTTCCACATATAGAATTCGCGCTGCATGCGGGCTTTTCCCCGAGTAGCATATTAAATTTGGTCAAGTTGTTTATTTTAATTACCATGCCTATTATTTTAAATCCCTTGGAACAACTTACGGTGGGCATAAACAAAGAAATATAGATTAGTACAATAGTGCTATAAACTTCTTTGAGGGAAAGGTTATTTGGCAGAACTACAGCGCATTTTTAGCAGTGTCATGAACTCAGACGTCTGACCTCAGCAACATTCTAATGTAAACAAAAGGCCATAAATAGTATCAAATTTCAAACGCTCTCAATTGTTCAAATCGCGTTTGCAGACGAGTTTCATTATGGTTTTTAGTACTTCAATGTGTCCTTTTTCCAACTATACTAGTCACTGTATGTAATTAGGTCCCACTTTTAAGAAACTCAGCGTAGAAAATGGTAGAATTTGAAAGCCGTATTTTGACATGGCGCTCTTTGTCGCTAAATATTGTCACAAATGCTCTGTAATTGAAAACCTAAGTTAGTTTAGATGAAATTACGATAGTTTTCCAGTGCTGGGTGTGAATATCAGAAATTTTGAACAAAAACTTTTGAAATTATTTTTATTTAAATTCAGCCCATTTTTTTCGTTTAATTAGCCGGCAAATTTCTCCCGCGACGGTGCGAGACCAAAAAATCGCTAAAACTTTGAAACTAAATATATTTTCAAAATTCCAAACAGCATTTGTTTGTTGTTAAAGTAAATGTAGTTCACGGTAAAAGTTTCGAAGGAATTTATTTTTCGAGCCCCAAGTCAGTGGGCGGTTTTTAGAGACACACGCTCTTAAAACTTTAGATTAGATTAAAATATAGGTACGTTTTAATAATAAAGGATACAAGTTCAAACGTTTTCAGAGAAATATATATATATATATATATATATATATATATATATATATATATATATATATATATAATACACACTTGTAAATAAGTTTAATTGCTCTGAACATGTTGTAAACAATACAACGAAAGGTTAGCCAATAAATTTTATATTTTTGTTATGTCTTTATAATTGTCTGAAATTCATTTGCTGGGCTTTAATCATATACGTTGCATTATCGTTGCATTCGATTCGACATAATTATTTGCATAATTATGACCTATCAGTATATATTATAAAAAAATTATCATACAGGACGAAGAAATGTTTTAGCATTCGACTTCGATTTGTTTGTCGACTTCGACGAATTTCAACTTCCACTTCGACGAATTTCAACTTCCACTTCAACTCGACGATTTTGTACTCGACTTTGACGATTTTTTTCTCAACTTCGACGAATTTGGATTGAAACTGATATTTGGACATATGGGAATGATATTTGCGTAATGGAAATGATATGTACATGTTCATAAGTTTGTCCCCTTTGGGCCAGCATAAAAGGAGATGTAATTTCCTTTATATTTTCTTGATTAACCGAAGTATATTTCGGCAACTACAACTCATCAATACTTATATAGAGGAAGACAGAAACAGAGTGACGTACATTTTGTTCGTACAAATTGATTGGTCATAAAGCAGAGCCTGACCTCAGGCAGAATACATCATCACTATATATGGACTATGGACCCCAGGAAGGCTCAAGCATGAGCGTATACACGAGGGGGTAAGCCCCCTAGAATCTGTCTAACACTTCTTATAAAGTTTTCAACCCCACCAAAATTTTGTTCCACCCCACCTACATTGCCGCTTTCACCCCACAGGAAATTGTTCCACCCCTCTTTTAAAAAAAACAAATCCGCCCTGGGCTCAATCATGCATTTTTTTTTAAAAAAAATTGCCCATAAGGACCTTTTTGTTTAATAATTGCGAAGGATTTGACACTGAATCCCCCCCCCCCCTCTCCCAAGTAAAACCATCCCGATACTACAGAAAAGAGTACTTTTCCCTCTGAGTTAACAATGAAAGTATATTTTTTACAAATCTCTGCGATATTACCTTTACAACTTTAAGGTTACAGGACACCCTTTTTGGCGTTTTGCGGAAAATCGCTACTGCGCGCTCAATTTTCATCAAATTTCCACCAAATGTTCTCCAGTGCATGCAAAATATGGTAAAGTTGTAAAATTAACAAACAATAAAATGTAAGAATTATTCAAGAAAATCTTAAATCGCGGTACCGTTACGGTTTTGAGTTGTGCTCCTGCTGGTTTTAAATTATATTTATGAAAACATCATTTTTATACAGTAAAATAGTTGTTCTAAAAAATTGTGTTCGGAAATTTTTGTTTATTTCGTCATTCCGCTGATATGGCGATTTCTTTGACGACTACAATATATTTCTGAATTGTTTGAGTGAATTGCTCTTTATTTTTAAAATATCCAAAATTAAAAAAAAGCCGAACACAATTTTGAAACTGACGTATTTAGCTATGACCTGTGAAAATTTGAGAAAAATTGGTTAAAACCCGCAGGAGCACAATTCTTTTGAAAATCAGTAACTACCGTAAAATTTTTCGGGAGAAAATTGAATTTGAATATTACATTTTCAATGTTTTTCTTATTGCAGCGAAATGTATTTTATTAAATAACTCTGCGAGTTTTCAACATTTTTCGTTCAAACTTGGTCAGATAGTAGAACTAGTCTAATGCTTTCATTGAAACCAATAAAAAAATTTTAGGCAAAATTAACACTCAAAGGTGTTCTGTAACCTTAAAGATATGATTATGGTGACAGATGTCTGACAGTGTACATTGTGGAGTATTTTGTAATGTAATAATATTCATGCAATACATAAATTTGTATCATAATTGAATTTTTATCACAGTCTGTCACTAAATAAATATTCATTCTTATCTTGTAATATAGTAAATTCAAAGGTAGAGCTCATGCTGTTTTGGCAACTATATTTAACAATTATACCATGAGCTCGAGTCGTATATGAGCTGATAGCCATATACGACGAGAGCGAATGGTATAATTGTTTTATAATATAGTCTAATATAGCCATTAACTGAAGCAGTAATTAATTATTCACTGTTACAATGTGTTGACAATGTGTGTGGCCAAAAACCGCCTGAAAATTTGAAATACTTTTGTTTTACAACTCGAAGAGGAAGTGAAAGAAATGGTTTTAGAACCTCTATATCTCACAGGAAAGCTCAGATATATTATACGGATGTTTGGTACTATAGTAAGTGCTTGTTGACTGCAAATTCATTTGTTGTTCATTGCAAACTTTTCTGAACAATTTATATTCTCAATGAACATGTTTTTTCGCTGTTGTTTCGGTATTAATTCTTTAAAAAACTTGTATTTAAACTAATTTCTAAGTAATAAATGTATTTTGCTAACCTGTCAAATTTTTTTGAGAGTTTCTCCTTGTACTATTATGTTTTTCAAAGCGAATAGTTTCCTTTTTCTGCTTTGCAAACTCTCATGTAGTTTTTGGACCGCCATCTTGTTTTTCGCTACTCGCCGTATATGAGTTGATATACGGCGAGTAATTAACCAATTAGATTGCAGAACAGCTCGTATACGGTGGATGACTATATTATAAATGTAATTATAAGTTGGGCAGTGAAAAGAACCAGCCACTGAGTTCAGGGCATAGATATCTTATATACACTAGATAGTGTATATAATTATTCTGCAATTGAAAATTGAAGCCGTGATTGCAGACTCAGGGTATTCCCATGAAATGAGAAGACTCGTATGTTTTCTATTTCTTAAACAGGGAACTTAAACATTAAGTTAAACCTATTCCAAATACATTTTCGAACTATTCAAATGATGAACGTTAGTGTTGTTTTTTAAGCGTTTATTAGCGAGTGGGGAACTCCAACATGGCCGCCATCTATTCAAATGGGGGTAACCGCTGGAATATTCTTGGCTTCAATTTTACTAAAAGAGATCCGCTATCTCGTTTATATAAGATATCTATGGTTCAGGGTCCTATCTACAATGTATCAATAACTAGCTAGGGAGGTGGTCGAGAATGGGTCAGGTCGTGATGTTGTAAGGGCGAATTGTTTTGACACCAAATGAAATAGATTTTCGATGGGGTTCAAGTCGGGACTCGTTCAATTTATGGACTATTTATGCTTATTTACAACGTCACCATGACGTCATTGTGACGTCACAATTTTTACACACTGCAAGGAATTGAAATCCTTAGACACTGTTCCCCAACCGAATAGTATATAGTGTTATAGAGGTATTATCGCTCATGAAGAAATGAGTTCTTAATCTCTTCCTCCCCACCCATTGCTGCCATTCGTATTGAGTTATATAGACTGGGAAGTCCACTTGTTCAAACAAGAAGTAATGCGCATGTGCAGCATGTTTTATTATTCGTGGTACAAGACCTCTCGCCGCGCGAGTTCTGCAAAAGTGTTGCTCATACCAGTCTACGAAGTAGTTCGGAGAACTACGTCTCCCCTTCATGTAAGTTTACACTCCGGGGAAACTCCATGTCTCTCTAGAAAACCAGACTAAAACAATGAAAAATATTGCGGAAATTCTCCAGGAAATATTTCTGGAAAAAAGGGGGGAAATTTCCCGCGCATTTTTGTCATGTCCAAATCGAGCAGGCACGTCAGCTAATCATAAAACGTTCGCACATAACATCTATATTATAAAACAGTGTTTCGCCTATAGTTATATCCATGAATAAAAACAAGTTACTTCAGACTGGCCGAAAGCAGTGAAATATTATCGAAATTCAGTGCAAAAAAGAAATTCGGTGCCACGCACACAATACATGGCAATACGTGAAATTTTTTCACATTTTGAAACCACACACTAATGACCAGGCTGAATGGCAGTTTGATGTCGAATACTGTCCTAAACGAGTTTCCTGGGTTTATCTTCACACAGAATGTCCTGGTGCCTTTCATTTTGTTGCGGGGAGAGGAGAATATGAGTAAACGGCTATGCTTAGAGTACATGTTGGAAAATTCATTACAGGCTAAGGCAGTTATCGTATAGGTAAAAACATCACTTTTCAGACTTTCAAGGTGCACTGTGATGTGATTCTCTAAAATGTTTATTTAGTTCATCAGCGATGTCACTCAATTGCAGGTGTTTCAGGGCATCAGTCAAATCTCTTACAAGAGCTGTGGGGCCATGACGTTTTTTCCACTTCAAGAGTACTTGGAACCCATGTTCTTTTTGTTCAGACGAGTCGGCAGAAATGTTTTGAATTTCTGCATCTTTGAGGAGCAACCTTCTGCCAAGATCTTTCCAATGTTTTCCCAAGCTCTCAGCAATGAAATGAAGACAACACTCTTTAACACATTCTGTAAAAAAGCATTTCGATTATTTCTGGATAAAGTTCGTATTCATGCATAACTTTAGATTCATCTTCTTTATAGTTTCCTACATTCGTAATACCACAGGGGCGTTTATACCCTGCGTAACTTTCCCATAGGCAAACGGGCGGTAGAAAATTAGTGAAAAAATTTTGGTCCGCGTGGATGGAAATTTAGAAGGAAAATAGAAAAAAACTCGTCTTCTATACAGTTATAGTTATTACATGACACAAAAGTAGGTACTAAACATCAAAGGCAAATATATCAAAAAGCGATGACGCAAAGTAAAATAATTGGTTTAGGCATACAATAACAAAGTGTATCACTTAAAAATCAGTCATTAGCTTTTTACCAGTATACCTTACCTTCTCCAAAGGCTGGTGCATCTGTGACTTTCTCTGCGTCCGAAGTATCAATTATATCCTCAGAACATAACTAAAACATATGAACAATGGCTTAATGTTCTTTTTGGACATGGACTTTGTAAAAATATCATCAACACAACATTGTATTTTCAGCACCATCATCACAGGTATGAAAAACTGGATTCATATTATTCTGGCATTTTAGAAAACATCGAAAATAAAATTCGTTGCCTTGAGCAGGATATTTTCGAACTCGCATCCTCAGGTTATAGACTGTCGCTCTAGCAGGACGGCGACGGCTGTCGTAGCTAGCAGGACGGCGACGGCTATTAACACAATGAAATTTATGACAGTGTAGAAAGAAAATGCATAATTAAAGGTCCCTTGGGAGTTTTAGACGTCGTCCTTGCTCTGTTTACAACAGCAAAACAAAGATTTTCACGTTTTGTATACAACGTCTGCCTTTCAAGCAGCGAGAAGTCGTCCTCGCAAAATTGGCTTGAGTTAGTAGAAGTCTTCTCAACTATAAACCTCTGTCTTAACCTTCTAAATTGCAATAAATTCATACAACGGATATTACAAGACATGTTGATCTTAAAGTTACTTATTTGAACGAGTTTCTTTTGGCCGTTGTTGTCGCGTTGCCGTCACCTATTTGCTAAAGGTCCCTATTGTTTGAAACTTTATATATTTCTAATATTATTACATGAAGTATTACGATAACAAATAAATTTAAAGTAATGTTGCGTAATCTGTCACAGTCCCCGGGTTGATCATTAAACATGATCAAATGACTAACTTAAACTAAATATGAACTGATGAACATTTTCCTAATGTTTTTACGTTTGTTCTGATTCCTAATGTTTTTACGTTTGTTTTGACAGTTTTCGTTCTCCTTGAACAGCTGCCTTTCTTTTTGGTCGATTCTTCTTCTCTACAACGGCAGTCTTAACATCAATGTCTAATGGTTCTGTACTGAGATCTTGTGTTCCGGATGATTCTTCATTCACATCAACTAGTTCTTCTTCATGCTTGTTT